AAAATATTTGCAAATCATGTATCTGACAAGGGGTTAATTTCCAAAATATATAAAGAATTCATACAACTCAACAACAAAAAGACAAACAACCCCATCAAAAAATGGATAGAGGACATGAACAGACATTTTTCAAAAGAAGATATACAGATGGCCAACAGGCACATGAAAAAATGTTCAACATCACTAATTATTAGAGAAATGCAAATCAAAACTATAATGAGAGATCACCTTACACTTGTCAGAATGGCTATGATTACCATGATAAAAAAAAAAAAAAAACAAATGTTGGAGAGGATGTGGAGAAAAGGGAACCCTCAGACACTGCTGGTGGGAATGAACCTGGTGCAGCCACTATGGAAAACTGTATGGAGATTTCTCAAATAATTAAAAATAGAAATGCCATACGATCCAGCTATCTCACTACAAGTTCCAAAGAACTTGAAATCAACAATTCAAAGAGACTTATGCACCCCTAGGTACATTGCAGCATTATTCACTATAGCCAAGATGTGGATGCAACCCAAGTGCCCATCAACCAAGGATTTATATGACTCAAAGCTGGGCTTTAGTCTTTCACCTTTATTCCTAGTGTGTAGCCCACAGGGTCCCCACAAAAGCCTGGTACATTTATCAGGACCACTCCTTCTTGGTAGGCCCTCAACTGTTTGATCTCCCCAACCCTGTTCACTGAAGCTCTACTCAGCTTCTCAGCCTCTGATTTCAGAGCTAACAATCTGAAGGAAGAGGAGGAAACGTGGCTGCAATGTTAGGCTCACTTTTCTTGGCTTCCTGCCTCTCCTAGAACTTGGGCCCACAATTCCTCACAGCTTTGGTAGTCCTCTGATGTCTTCAAAGAGATCGTTTAAACTTTTCTCCCAGCTCGTCTAGTTGTTTTCAGCAGAAGATTTGGCCCTAAACACTTTGCCCATCATTGCTGGAATTAGAACCTCCTCCCCCCTGAACTTCAGACTTGGATCTCAAGTATCCTGTTGAATGTCTCCTGAATATCCTACATGTCCCTCATGCTCAATATGTCCGCACTGAACTCTACATTTGTCCCATATCCTGCCCCCTCCCACTCAACTGGCTTTTCCTGTTGTGGCTATTTCTGTTCATGTTGTTCCAAACTGTAAATATTATCTGTGAATCTGATCTCTCTCTGCCTCCTAAATGCCTTCACTTACCAAGTAGTGTGTAGCCCTGGTCGTCCAGTGGTTAAGATTCAGCACTCTCACTGCCATGGCCCAGGCTCATTTCCCACCCAGGGAACTATACCACCCATTGGTCAGTTGTACTGTGGTGGCTGTTTGTTGCTGTGATGCTGAAAGCTATGCCTCCATTATTTCAAGTACCAGCAGGGTCACCCATGGTGGAGAGGATTCAGCAGAGCTTCCAGACTAAGACAGACTAAGAAGGAACTGTCCACCCACTTCCAAAAGAATCTGCCATGAAAACTCTATGAATAGCCATGGAGCATTGTCTGATACAGCCCTGGAAGGTGAGAGGATGGCACAAAAAGACCGGGCAGGGTTCTGCTCTGCTCTACCAGGGTCACTAGGAGTTGGAATCCACTTGACAGGACTATAACAACAAACACGACAGGACACTAGGATTTCTAAGGAACCCCCTTAGAAGCCATTCAAGAAGGGACTAATAGATAATAATAATTAATTAATACTTATTGAACTCTTAACTGTGGGCCAAGTGCTATGCTAAATCTTGGCCTGCATTACCTCATTTAATCCTCCAGTTGCTCTTTGATATAGGTGTTGTTATGAGGAAGCTGATGCTCAGAGAGATCACTTAGGCAGTAAGTGACCAAAGCAGGCAGTCCCAGGCCTCCTTGACTCCAAATCCCTGGCCCTGTGCAGGCAAGAACATAGGTATACTCCTCTCTACCCGCTCCTCAACTGTTCTCTCTCCCCTGCACCCCTTTACCAGATGTAAAACTCAGGTATTGACATCATGGAGAGCAGACTGGGGGATGGGAACGACACTGTTCATTAGGGGCTGGAAGAGAGCACTTCCAGCCCCTTTTAAAAGGTGCCACCCTTTGATCACCTTCTCAAAACGTCTAAGGTCTTGCTTTCTCACTGCTTCCTTAGCCATCTTTTACTTATAGCCCTAACAACTGTTCATGTCAACATATGACCTCAAAAAGTGTGAAAAAATGCCACTCTTGAAATGTACTCCCCACACCTATTCACTCTGCTACCCTTACCCCTACCTCCATCCCCCACCCCATTAACCAGAGTAGTTCAGCTTCTTATGCCTCTTGGTTTACTCTTCTGTATGAGATCTTATTTGAAAGAAGATTTCTCTTTGCTAAAAAGATCTTGCAAATTTCTGCCCTAGAGCAAGTCAGATATTGATTTCTTAGTCCACATGCTACTTAGTTAAAATGTAAGGGAGGTACCTTGTGTCACAGAAAATATCTGAGGGTAAACAAATTAATTCCTTCCATAAACTTTCACTGATTAAAAGCATATTCTCTACAAAAGAACATACTAGTGCCTTCGGGAGCTGAAACTGGGATGAGGGATTGAGGTCATGCCTTACATGATAAAATGAGAGAGAAATTAAGCCACAAAGAGGAGCAGACCAAGTGCTCTTCAAGGAGCTAGTCATTCCTGCAAGGGCATTGGGAGAGTCTGGGATCCAAAGATGGCATCAGGGCTGGTCCTGGAGAGATGTGTGAAGTTCTAGAAGGAAGAGAGGAGCATTCGAGGCAGAAAGGGCAGCCAGAAACATTCTCAGAGAATAGGGAGCAGTGTGGCAAGACCAGCAAATTAGGGGTCTGGAAGGATATGGCACGAGGTAAACACAAAAATATAAATATTACAGATTGAACTCCCTAATTTGTATATTCAAATCCATCTTTTGAAAATTAGTTTTAAAACTTTTTAAACTATTAAATGTTTAGTTTATGCTCTATTTATAAATACGTGATATGGATCAACATTTTATTTCTCTTTCTCTCAGGTCATGGAACATCCTTTAATATCGACTGCAATGTCTGTTCTTGCTTTGCTGGCAATTTGGTGTGTTCTACCCACCTGTGCATCAGTGAGCACAGTTCAGAAGATGACTGTCGCACCTTCACAGGTAACTGGTCACCCAGAAGCTGTCCTTAATGGGCCATCATACCTTTGTATTTATTTTGCCCTTCAAGGTGGCTTCTCCAGTCTTGCCTTAACTGCAAATGTACAGAGTAAAATATATGTGTAATCCGAGAGCATGATAGTTCCCCTTTCTGGATCTGCTTCCTCCTCTGTGAACTGAGGGCATTCAACTAAATGGTTTCTTAGGGCCCTTCCAGCACTCATATTCTGGAATTCTATGAGCTAAAAAGAACAAGGCCAGTGATTGGGATGGTTTTAGTTAAATGGAACTTTTCTACCTGCTAAAATACCCTATTTACCCTAGCTACTAAATATGGTCTAAAATGTCCGTGTATTTTCTAAGTTTGTATCTGTTCTAGTGTTTTTCTCACTACCTTCCTTGACCTACCTTAGCTTACTGGTTCATTAGGTACCCATAATCAATCAAGTATGCTACTTTCTCGACTTTCCTATGCTTTGTGCTGCTGGTATTATGCTGGTACCAGCTACAGTAAGTGAAAAGCTGGTGAGATGGGATGCTCTTCCCTTGAGAGGAAGCTACAGTTGCCAACAGCAACAGCACAGTCTACTGGCATCAATTGGTATCTACTTTTTCCCAGAAATACCTTTGGTTCTGGGTCAAGAGGAGCCAGGTAGCTGCCCTTGCCCCTTCATGCTGCTGCAGCAGCAACCTGATTCCTTTTTCCCTGGAGTTAGTATTACACATGGAGTGGGGTGGGAGGAGAACAGAAGAGGGATTTACCAACCTTGTGTCTCCAGCCCACTGGAAATAAAAAGGAGATCAGAAATAAGTGAGTGGCAGACTTATGGGGAAGTAGAGGCAGGACTAACTCCATCCCATCCCCATCACCCTCATGAGCACCGGCCTCTGCTGCTTTGTTGTTGTCATTGTCCTTGTCTTTGATCTGCTCTGCTCTGATATGGACAATTCATTCTGCTTAGAGAAACCATAGAATGATGTGGGGCTGAGGAGTGAGCTAAAGATGTATATGGAAGACTTTATTTATTTCTTTATTTACTTATATCTAAATGTGTGGGAAGGTGAACTTTACAACTAGCAGGACCCTTTTTCCCTGTAGTGTATAGCCCCTCATGTCTTGGGATAAATTAAGTTAATGACTGTTTAGCTAGCAGACTCTAAGGAGATTTTACTGGCCACAAAGTCTTCCACATTTCTTGGAACTCAGATAGTGCCCCCATCCAAACATGACTCAGAGAGACATGTTTATAAAAATTCTTAAGTCTCAAAATTACAATAATTTTCTAAGTTACCTTCTTGTTCTTCCCCCTCCCTAAGGAGATGGAAGGAACTAAAGGGGAGAAAGAGTATCTTCTACCACTCTGGGTCCTTTCTGGCTGGGCTACAAATTAAATTGACATGAGACTGAATAGGAGGAGAAAATCAAACAAAGCTTTATAACATGTATACATGAGAGAGACCAGGGAAACTGAATTTCTAGACAAATGATGGAGGTTTTCACCTTAAATAGCATATTCAGGTAGACAAAGGAGGATGTTGGGGGTGGGGGGCAGTCACTATGGGAGATTACCAGAAATCACAGTAAACAAGAGTACGCAGATTTAAGTCTTTGCCTTCCTCACTGATAAGAGTTTCTAGAGATAAAGTCATCCCCCCTTCTTCCTGGTACAGAGAGAGATACCTTTACAAATGGAGATTTCCCTTAAACAGAACTTTGATAAGAATGGGCTTAGCAAGGACCCTCCCAGTATATCTCTTTTAGGCAGTTTGGGGGGAAGGTCAAGTGTCCTTCATAGAAAATAATCAAGGTAAAGAGACGTATTTTTGTATGTGTGTGTGTGAGGAAGATTAGCCCTGAGCTAACATCTGTTGCCAATGCTCCTCTATTTTGCTGAGGAAGATTGGCCCTGGGCTAACATCCATGCCCATCTTCCTCTACCTTATATGGGACGCCGCCACAGCATGGCTTGACAAGCGGTGCGTCGGTCCACACCTGGGATCCGAACCTGCGAACCCCAGCCACCGAAGCGGGGTGCATGAACTTAACCGCTGCACCACCAGGCTGGCCCCAAGAGACATATTTTGAGGTGGCCAATTCTGATCTCCCACAGAACCTATGTGAGGACTCTACAACCTTTGTTCTTTGTCTTGTTTTTGGTCTTACTCTTTAATATTCCGGAAATCCCCCAGGCCGGATTTCAAACATCTAAATTTAGATTTGATATACTAGATTGGGAATCACACTCTTTACTTTTCTCACCTATACCTTTGTTTATAGGGGTCTCTACCCCTGGGATCAAGGTCTGGAGACCATCAATTAGCTGGAAATAAGTGGAACAAAGGAAATCCATTGTTGAATAACCATTGCAAATAACCAGTAACCATTCTATAGAGAGAGAGAGAGAAGGAGAATTTTACTTGAACCAAGCTGAGGACTATAGCCCAGGAAGGCAGCCTGCACAAAAGAAGAAAGCATTCAGAAAAGCGTGGGTTTCAGGACAGTTTTATACCTTTTTAGAACAAAGAACATACGTCAAACAGGCCCAGGATACATACTTATCAAAGTTTCAAAGAGATATTTAGTTCCAGATTAGCAGGTCAACATGACCTTGATGTCCAGGAAAGGAAGCTTTATCATCAGGAGTACTGATACTGCCCTCATAAGAGGGGAAGTATGCATTCTTATCTTCAGAGAGTGCATTCTTTTACTTTGAGATAATGTTTAATGCATCCTTATCTTAATGGTTAAAGCAGATGTACAATGTATGTTTGATAGCCACACGTCAGGCTTCTTTAGTTCAGGCTGAATCTGGTATAAATCAGAATAGCGACCCCATATACCTCTATATGTGAACGTTTCTTGTCACCATTATGCAGACAAATGGCTTTTCAGAGGCTTGCCATCCTTAAAAACACTGTCAGAGAGTGGAGGGATGTTTTCCTGACTTAATTTACAATTTTCTTTTGACATGAGACCTCCATGTGATCGTTAGTGGTTTGCCTGACTTAGAACATGTGAGGGAAGGGGAATGCACAAGCACACGTCGTTGAGGCTGTCTCCTCTCTTCAGGTCTGCCCTGTAACTGTGCAGAGCAGTTTGTCCCCGTGTGTGGGCAGAACGGACGCACTTACCCCAGTGCCTGCATTGCTCGCTGTGTGGGCCTCCAAGACCATCAATTTGAGTTTGGATCATGCATCTCAAAGGATCCTTGTAATCCTAACCCCTGCCCCAAAAACCAAAGGTAAGTCAAATGGCTCCTTATCTTTTTCAACTGAAGACCAGCACCTACTGAGCATCTAGTGTGGACCAGACAGTGAAAATACAAAGATGAATCAAGAAGGTCTCTGCCCTGAAGAGTTTGGTCTCTGCCCTGAAGAGTTTGGAGTCTAGAGGGAAAGAGCCATGTAAAGCTGCTTGGTAACGTGCTGTGACTGAGGGCCCAGAAATGGAGCAGTGGAGGCAGCCCGGACGAGGCCTGGGAAAGCCTCTAGAGGATGTGACACTCGGCCGGAAAGACGAGGAGGAGACTGCAGGCAAAGTTTACAGTGGAGGAATGGTGGTGTTGGTGAAGGCAGAGAGTAACAGGAGCAAAGATCTCGGCTGCTGGAAACGAGGAGATGGCGTGGTGCAGGCTAGAAGCTTACAGCAGGTCAGTAAGACTGAAACAGAAAGCGTGAGGAAGGGAGAGGGAGCAGAGGAAGCGAGAGAAAAGGATGTGTTCCTACCTTGTTAGCTATTTATGCCTGATAGTAATGGGAGATTTCCTTCTACTGACCTACCTCCATTTTAGGGATTGGACAGGAGAAATCTCTGGAAATGCAACTTCAGTGTTATATGAAGTTATTGGTTTAGGGGCCCTTTCTCTGCAGTTTCCTCATGGGCTCAGAGCACAGCTGACCTAGCCTTAATGATAGATTTCTGTATGTGTGGCTGCAGGGCAAGGGTCCTGCTGACTCGCTCAGATTTCAGGCTTGTAGAACTGGAGTTTTCACTGGCTGCCTCAGAGACCTGAGCAGGACACATCCAAGGGCCAGAGTCCTTTCCTTCTGAAGGATTTTGTGGGGAATAAGCTATTGCTTCTCCATCCTGAAAACTCTGGTGCAGTATGGGGTGGTGGGGGTGGGGGGATTTCTCGTGTGTTGAAAGAAATGGCAGAGAGTTGGTCGCCCATCTGGCAAAGTTTATACCGTGAAAACTAAGCCCAGAAAGTTCCTATGGAAAGAAGATGGGTGCTGTCCATTAGAAAAAAGGATAAAGAAATAAGCCAAAAGGATAATATAGTTGTGTTGGGAGGTAGAATTGAGGGTTGTTTTGGTATTTGTTTATTTGTTCATTTGTTTGTTTTCTTCTATTTGCTAACCTTTCTGGATAAGGTTGTCTTGCTTTTATAATAAAACAATAAAATCTCAAAATGGGAAGGACTTGCTGGGTATAATACAAAACCAATATAAAAGAAAAGATGGAAAAATGCAGTTACATTGGACATGAACATTTTCTGCATGGTAACAAACAAATGACAAACTGGAAAGAATATCACAGAGAAAGGGCTGATGTCCTTGCAATCTAAAGAGCCCCTACAAATCCATATGAAAAAGGTTGACAACCTAATAGAAAAAGGGTCAAAGATCTACATCCTAATAGAAAAATCGATCAAGGACATAAACGTAGAAAAAGAAATACAAATGATTCTTAAACACTTGAAAAGATGCTTTTATTAGTCAGGGTGAGTAACTCTAGCTATGTATGTGTGGTATACAAACTCTATGTATACAACTCCCAAATATCAGTATTGTAACATAATAGAAGTTTAAATACAGTCCGTTTGGGTGTTCAGCAGATGGCTCTCCACATGGTGATTCAGAGACTTAGGATCCTTCCATCTAGTGACTCTGCCAGCTCCTACAGCCTCATAGTCCTCTGTATCTTCTGCATCTGGCCAGCAGATTAGACAAGGGAGGTGATGGAGGTTGCTCTTGAGAACCTTTGTAGGCCAGGTTTAAAAGTGACCTTCGTCTCTACTTCCAGCCACACTCCATTGTCACGTGACCACAAGTGACTGCTTGACTACTGCCAGGGAGACTCGGAAATGTAACCTAAATGTGTGCCCAGGAAGAAAATTAAATGAATTTGCTGAACATCTGGCCAATCCACCACAATGCTTAACCTTCCTCATATTAAGAGAAATGTAAATTAAATTAAAACTACAGTTGTGGAGCCGGCCCCGTGGCTTAGCGGTTGAGTGCATGCAGTCTGCTACTGGAGGCCTGGGGTTCGGATCCCAGGCGCGCACCATCGCACCGCTTGTCCGGCCATGCTGTGGCGGCGTCCCACATACAGCAACTAGAAGGATGTGCAACTATGACAAACAACTATCTACTGGGGCTTTGGGGAGAAAAAGGGAAAAAAAAAAGCAGGAGGATTGGCAATAGATATTAGCTCAGCAAAAAGAGGAGGATCTGCATGGATGTTAGCTCAGGGCTGATCTTCCCCACAAAAAAAAATACAATTGTGTACCATTTTCCATCTACCAGATTGGCAAAGATAAAAAATTTGATAGCATATTATATGGAAACAGGCACTCCCATATGAAAGGGCTGAGGGGAGGATTGGTACATCCTCTATGGAGGGCAATTTGGCCACGCCCACCAAAATTTTAAATGCACATACTCTTTGAATCAGCTTATATAAATGCTTATACTTACAGAAAATATCTCTGGGAGAATAAACAAGAAGTTGGTAATACTGGTTGCCTCTGGGGAAGGGAACTAGGTAGCTGGGACATAGAGTAGGAGGGAGACTTATTTTTCACCATATGTGATTTTATGTCTTTTCAGTTTCACCATGGGCTTGTATTATCTGTTCAAAAAATAATTGTTTAAAGAATAAAATTGTATTCATCATCAAATATCTATTGATGTGTCAGGCATCTTTCTGAACACTAGGACACAACAGTAAACAAGACAAGGTCCCTGCCCTGATCGTGTTTACTTTAATTTACCCCCCAATTCTCAACCTTTCCTCTTGATCCTCTTATTTTTACATATTCATATTGATAAAGTTTTTCCTGCCAAAATTACCAAATTTCTCCTGATGTTCTTGGTTCTCATCCCTTTCATGTTAATAGATAATGAAGTTCTAAATATTCTTTTCCATTATTTCTCTTCAAATGTTTTGAATTTCCATAAAACCATAACTAAGTGCATTCTAATTTTAAATCCCATCAGAAAAGGCGACCACAGATGGTGGTAATGATGGTGGTGGGCATTTCGGGGCAGGAGGCTTATCTCTAAAAAAGAGTAAAGGTAATTTCCTTTGAAATTAAACTAATGCTGGCTACTATATTGTTCTCCTTTTATTTGACAAAGATTTGTATATCCTATTATTTCAAATACCCAGTGAAAGCTGAACATTTGAATAGGTCTTATCTTCTTATAGAAAGTTATAAATACCCTTTATAGAAATGAGGGAGACAGAAAAGTCTAAAGAAGAAGGGCATCTATCCCACTACTGGGTATTTATCCAAAGAACATGAAATCAACAATACGAAAAGATCTCTGCACCCCTATGTTCATTGCAGCATTATTCACAACAGCCAAGATGTGGAAGCAACCCAAGTGCCCATCAACTGATGAGTGAATAGAGAAGATGTGGTGTATATATACAATGGAATACTACTCGGCTATAAAAAGAGACAAAATCATCTCATCTGCAACAACATGGATGGACCTTGAGGGTATTCTGTTAAGCAAAATAAGCCCGACACAGAAAGACAAAACACCGTATGATTTCACTCATATGTGGAAGACAAACAAACACATGGATAAAGAGAACAGATGAGTCGTTACCAGAGGGGAAAGGGGTGGGGAGGTGGGCCAAAGGGGTAAAGGGGCACATATGTATGGTGATGGAGAAAAACTAGACTATTGGTGGTTGAGCACAATGTTGTCTATACAGAAACTGATATGTAATAACATACACCTGAAATTACACAATGTTGTAAACCAATATGACCTTAATAAAATAGAGAAAGAAGAAAAGAAGGGCATCATCCCTAACCCTTCTGAAGGAGTTCAGGAATTGGGAGTGAAGCAAGGTTCAGATATCACCAGGAAACCCAGCTTCATGGGGTGGCATTCTCTCGGCGATTCACCACCAGCCAGCATCCGGTCCTTAGCCTGTGAGCACAGACACCTGAACTTTTCAGCACACACTGTGAAGCCTTCTCTTAAGATAGACTCATATTGGCCAAGTTGAAAATTAAGCCCCTGAAAATGCTTCATTTATTATTGACTACCAGGCCTCCAGCGTCAGACCCCCACCCCCCGATGGCCTCATTTCGTGACACTTTTACCCCGTGCATTCTTTGCTCCCGCCCTTTGGTCCCCTGCCCCTTCCCCCAGCACCACAGGGTCTTGAGCATCACACCTTTGCACATGCAGCTCCCTCAGCCGGGCAGGCCTGTGCGGCCCTCCCCACCTCTAGGGTCCAGCCAGGACACGACCCCCTCCCGGGGCTTTCTCCAGGCTCCTGGACAGAAGGACTCACTCTCACGAGCATCGATGTTGTTTTCTACCTGGTAGCCTACTTTATGTGCACGCTTGGCTCTCCACTCTCCAGAAGCTCTTGGGGACAGGGACTGCTTCCAGTTTCTCTCTTGCTTTCTCCTCAGCCTCCTGTGCCTTGTCGGTGCCCTGCCGGCCCCCCACACTCCCTCCCGACGTTGGTTGATGGGCTGTGTTCGTGTTTTTCAGATGCATACCCAAACCACAAGTCTGCCTGACGACTGTTGATAAATTTGGATGTAGCCAACATGAGTGTTTGCCCAGACAGCTCACCTGTGACCAGGCCCGCGATCCTGTGTGTGACACAAACCACCTGGAGCACAGCAACCTCTGCACTTTGTACCAGAGAGGGAAAAGCCTCTTGTACAAAGGCCCGTGCCAGGTACAGTTGTTTGGCTGACAGACCCACGTCCTCTGAGCATGAAATCGGTTTGTGGGCTTTTACACATGACCCAGCAGTCAGACCGTTTGCGGGGCTTGTGAATCCTGTCCTGTCTAGAAAACTCCGTCCCCACTCCCAGGGAGCCATCCCAAGACTGGCTTTTCCTCCACTCTGGAGGACTCCCTGGTTTCACACCCCTGGCACGAGTCAGCACCGTTTTCTCTTCCCATAGTTCTGTGGGCCCTCATTGCAAAAGAAATCGGGAAGAATGCGAGTTGAAACAACCAGGAGAAGAGTTTTTTCCCACGATTCCCACCGAAGTCCCTCCCTCAGTACTGAAAAGTGGTCAAAAATTTCTCCAAGACTTAATGTCTTTTTACGTGAGTTTATCCTTCAGTCTTTTAAGGTTGCAAAATCCGTATTCGTGTTAAAAATACCCGCAAGGACAGCACCCCTGAGGCTTCCCGCGCACCACTGATCCGTGTGCGGGCCCCGCCCCTTTCTGGGATCCCGTCTTTGGGCCCAGCGTCCCCGCCACAACCGGCTGACACCTGACACGACTGCTTCTCCGTCCCTGGTCTTTGTGGCCAGAAAACCCCTTCGGCTTGTCTCCCTAGGCTGTTTCCTCTCAGGACTTGTGTTCCGGTTGCTTCCATACCTGCTACTCTGAATCCCAGTCTCCTCTTCCCACTTGTTCCGTCTTCCTGGCTACAGTTTTTCTCTTACATATTCTTACCCTGCCCGACGGATCCAGAGTCTGTCTGCCCCACTGACCCTGTCCTTATCCCCTACCCAGCGAGAAACGATAAAGCCTCCGTATTTGCAGGAAGGTGGATCTTGTTTTCTTCAAACAGGCGTTTCCAGAACAATGGAAGTCTGGAGGGAGGCATTGTATCTCGTATCAGTTCACGTGGAATGAGCACCCGAGACCCAAAGAGGCTGAGAAAAGTAATCTCTTCAGTTCATCTTGGGACGGTCCTATTGCGCCCCCGCCATGTTCAGCCCACCTCAGGAGCTGCATTAAGAGGGGCCCCAGAATTTATGTCTGTGTCCTTTTTCCTCCCTGGAAATAGGGAGAGCTCTACCGTGTGCTGTTGGTTAGGAAAAGTGCGTCCTGGAGGTTTCCAGGCTGAATGTGATTTGTTTGCCCTCAGCCCTTCTGCAGAGCCGCAGAGCCCGTCTGCGGGCACAATGGGGAGACCTACAGCAGCGTGTGTGCCGCCTACTCGGACCGGGTGGCGGTCGATTACCTCGGGCCCTGCCAGGCCGTCGGGGTCCTCTCAGTGTCCAGTTCTGTCTCCGAATGTGCTGCGGTGAAGTGTCCCTCTCTCTCAGCGACTGAGTGCAAACCCGTCATCCCACCCGGTAAGCTGGCAGTCTTGTGGGGGGGGTGGCTTGGGAAGACTTGCTTCTCCGCCTCCAGAGCGTGAGTCTCTGCGGGGAAGAGAGTTGACTAGTTTATGTACATTTCTCAAGAAGTCTTAACTCGACCTGACGCTGATTAGATGTGTTATTCCGGGTCAACCTTACAAAGCTGTGCATGACCTTGGCCATCATCTGGTCCCGCCGTTTTAAAACAATATAGCGAATTTTTTTCAGGCAAAATCTTACACCAAACACCAATATATAAACAAATAAAGCAGTATTTAATTACTAAAATTATGATTATTAGCTCAAATGCATGATGTTTACTTATTGTAAAGTTAATGAGGGGCTGCCCGGTGGCGCAAGCGGTTAGGTGCGCGTACTCCACTGCGGTGGCCCCATCTGTGAATCCATCAAAAGTTCACTGAGTTTCCACTATGTGCCAGACACTCTTCCGGGCACTGGGGACACAGCAGTGAGCAAAACAAAGCCTCCTTCCCCTGGAGACTATGTTCTGCTACTTGCTTATCATTTTTTAACAGTGTAAAATAATTCTTAAAATTAAGTTAGAATCAAACGCTCATGGAATCCCTGCTTTTGCAGACAGGAAATCTAGGGGCCAGGAAAGCACCTGCCCAGCATGGAACAGCAAGTTTTGAGGGAGGGCAGGGTCTCAGCCTCACATCTCCTGAAAGGCCAGCTCTCTCTGTGCTGCCTTCCAGCACAGCTGCCTCACCCTGAGAAGTGGTGAAGGGGGAGAGCAGGGCTGGAGGAAGGGTTCTGGTACACGAGTCGATTCTGAAACCCGTTGGCCGGGGAACACGTCTAAAAGCGCATCATCAGGAAGGGCAGCTGTAACTCTCCGAGCACAAAAGGAAGGGCTGGGAGTTTCACCAACTCGGCTGAATTCTCCGTGTTTCTAGTTCTGAACACACATAAAATGGTTTCTGTTATACAGGTGCTTGTTGCCCATTATGTGCCGGGATGCTAAGAGTTTTATTTGACAAAGAAAAGCTGGATACTATTGCTAAGGTAAATTGCTTTCTATGCCAGGTCCTCTTGAAACCGTATTGATAAACCTCTCAGTAATCCTACAGAGTAGAAGATGTTTTCTCATTTTTAGAGGAAGAAACCTGTTTGCAGAGAAGCAACATGCCCAAGGCTGTCGGCTCAGAACCAGTACTGCTAGGGTTTGACCCCAGGCTGTCTGCTCCCCATCCCGTGCTCCTCTCCTCTGCAGCCTGGCTGTGTGGTGACCTTGCTCTGCACATCCCACCCTGAGCCTTTCTTAGGAAAGGTCCCCTCCTGGCCCAGTCAGCAGAGTCGGAGCTGGAGGCAGAACCAGGCAGCCAGAGACTGGGAGATGCCCGCTGGTTTCCAGGTGGCCTGCCCACCCAAGCCCCACTCCGCCCAGTGCATCCAGAGCCGGCCGCCTCCCCACCAGGCTCTGCCCCCTTTCCCTTTGCCGCTGCTTGTGCTGCTCGCTGTTGTGGAGACAGGGCTCCAGACAACAGCTGCCACAACCTAGAGAACTGTCCCCTTTTGGATTTAAACACCTGTGTTTTTACAGGAGGACTTTATTTCCCTGCGGCCTCCATCTCAGAACAGTCACGTTATTTAAAAAAAAAAAAAAGAAACACTTCTGGTGAGAGCATTTATCCAGGCTACAAAGCCCCACAGTCAGGCCAAAGCCCATTGGAACAGACTCTGGCATTCAGCTGGCTGGGCCCTATGGGGCCTGCACTTAGGAGTTCCTTGGTTAAAAGAGCCTCCTTGGGGGGCTGGCCCCATGGCGTAGTGGTTAAGTCTGGCGCACTGCACTTTGGCAGCCCAGGTTCACCGGTTCAGATCCCGGGCATGGAGTTAGACCACTCGTCAGCCATGCTGTGCGAAATAGAGGAAGATAGGCACAGATGTTAGCTCAGGGCTAATTTTCCTCGAGCAAAAATAGAGGAAGATTGGCAACAGATGTCAGCTCAGGGCGAATCTTCCTCAAGCAAAAATAGAGGAAGATTGGCAACAGATGTCAGCTCAGGGCGACTCTTCCTCACCAAAAAAAAATAGCCTCCTTGCCTTAGGCAAGGGAGCAGGGCAGCTTTG